TCCTCCTCCTCCTCCTCCTCCTCCTCCTGGCCATCTCCAATCCCGGCCGCCGTCCTTAGAGGAAAAACCCAGGGCAAATCCCAAAAATCCCCGGGGAGGTCTCGGCCCTTCGGATCCGTCCCCTCCTGCATGAGCCACCCGCGTTCCCGGCGATGGCCCAGCGCTGAAGATGTCCATGGCCAGGCTCGGCAGCGTCAATGGATTCCTGGAGGACGGCAGGATGGAGGCGGGAGACATGGGCAGGATCCTGCGCTGCCTGGAGATGGGCACCGTCCTCACCTTGTTCTACCAGAAGAAGTCCCAGAGGCCGGAGAGAAGGACCTTCCAGGTGAAGCTGGAGACGCGGCAGATCATCTGGAGCCGCACGCCCGAGAAGGTGGAGGGGGACAGTGAGTATCGGCCCCGGGGGGGGGCCGGGGAGGGTGAGAAGCTGGGGTGGGGTGACTGGTTGTGGGGTGCCTGAATGTGTTGGGGTGTCCTACCATGGTGGGGTACCTGGTTGTGGTGTGTCTGGTCATGGTGGGATGTCCTACTGTGGTGGGGAACTGGTTGTGGGGTGCCCAGCCATGGTGGGATGTCCTACTGTGGTGGGGTGCCCAGTTGTAGGGTGCCTGGACGTGTTGGGGTGTCCTACTCTGGTGAGGTGACTGTCTGGGGGGTGCCTGGCCATGGTGGGATGTCCTACTGCGGTGGGGAAACTGGTTGTGGGGTGACTGGCCATGTTGGGATGTCCTATTGTAGTGGGGAAACTGGTTGTGGGGTGCCTGAGCATGGTGGGATGTCCTCCTGTGATAGGGTGCCCAGTTGTGGGGTGCCTGGACATAGTGGGATGTCCTACCCTGGTGGGGTGACTGTTTGTGGGGTGCCTGGCCATGGTGGGGTGTCTTGGCATGGTGGGGTGACTGGCTGGGGAGTTTTTGGGGCACAGTGGGATGTCCTACTGTGATGGGGTGAGCAGCTGTGTGACTGTGGTGGGGTGACTGGTTGTGGGGTGCCTGGCCATGGTGGGATGTCCTACCCTGGTGGGGTGACTGGTTGGGGAGTTTTTGGGGCATGGTGGGATGTCCTGGTGTGGTGGGGTGACTGGTTGGGGGGTGCTTGGGCATGGTGGGATGTCCTGCTGTGGTGGGGAAAGTTGCTGTGTGGCTGTGGTGGGATGTCCTGCCATGGTGGGGTGCCCAGTTGTGGGGTGCCTGGATATGGTGGTGTATCCTACCCTGCTGGGGTGACTGGTTGTGAGGTGCCTGGATATGTTAGGATGTCCTGCCATAGTGGGGTGACTGGCTGGGGAGTTTTTGGGGTGTAGTGGGATGTCCTACTGTGGTGGGGTGCCCAGCTGTGGGGTACCTGGACGTGTTGGGGTGTCCTACCATTGTGGGGTATCTGGTCATGATGTGCCTGGTCATGGTGGGATGCCCTGCTGTGGTGGGGAAACTGGTTGTGGGGTGCCTGGCTGTGGTGGGATGTTCTTCCATGGTGGGGTGACAGGCTGTAGGACCATGGTGAGATGTCTTACTCTGGTGGGGTGACCGGCTCTGGGGTGCCTGGCCATGGTGGGGCGTCCTGGTGTGGTGGCATGACTGGCTGAGGAGTTTTTGGGATGTGGTGGGGTGTCCTGATGTGGTGGGGTGACTGGTTGTGGGGTACCTGGCCATGGTGGGATGTCCTACTGTGGTGGGGTGACAGGCTGTGTGGCTGTGGTGGGGTGACTATTTGTGGGGTACCTGAACATGGTGGGGTACCCTGGTGTGGTGGGGTGACTGGCTGAGGAGTTTTTGGGCTGTGATGGGGTGTCCTGGTGTGGTGGGGTGACTGGTTGTGGGGTGCTTGGATGTGGTGGGGTGTCCTGGCATGGTGGGGTGACTGGTTGTGGGGTTGTGGTAGGATGTCCTGGCATGGTGGGGTGACTGGTTGTGGGGTGCCTGGTCATGGTGGGGTGTCCTGCCATGGTGGGGTGACTGACTGGGGAGTTTTTGGGGCATGGTGGGATGTCCTGGCATAATGGGGTGTGCTTGGGCCTGGTGGGATGTCCTGCCACGGTGGGGTGCCCGGCTGAGGGATGATTAGCTGTGGGGTCACTGGCTGTGGGGTGCTTGGGTGTGGTGGGATGTTCTTCCATGGTGTGGATGTGGCTGTGGTGGGATGTCCTGCTGTGCTGGAGTGACTGATGCTCGGGTGCTTGGATGTGTTGGGGGGTCCTGCTGTGGTGGGGTGACTGGTTGTGAGGTGCCTGTCCATGGTGGGATGTCCTGGTGTGGTGGGGTGACTGGTTGTGGGGTACTTGGATGTAGTGGGGTGTCCTGCTGTGGTGGGGTGACTGGCTGGGAAGTTTTTGGGCACAATAACTGGCTCTGGGCTACTTGGACGTGTTGGAAGGTCGTACCGTGGTGGGGCGACTGGTTGTGGGGTGCCTGGGGTGTCCTGGCATGGTGGGGTGACTGGTTGTGGGGTGCCTGGACCTGCTGGAGTGCCCTGCCATGGTGGGGTGATGGACTGTGCCAGTGTTGACCATAGTGGGATGTCCTACTGTAGTGGGGTGTCCAGTTGGGGGATGTCTGGACATGTTGGGACGTCCTGCTGTGGTGGGGTGACTGGTTTTGGGTTTCCTGGACCTGTTGGGATGTCCTACCTTAGTGGGGTGACTGGTTGTGGGGTTCCTGTTCATGGTGGGATGTCCTGTCGTGGTGGGGTGACTGGTTGTGGGGTTCCTGTTCATGGTGGGATGTCCTGTCATGGTGGGGTGACTGGTTGTGGGGTTCCTGTTCATGGTGGGATGTCCTGACATGGTGTGGTGACTGGTTGTGGGGTTCCTGTTCGTGGTGGGATGTCCTACCATGGTGGAGTGATGAGTTTTGGGGTTCCTGTTCATGGTGGGATGTCCTGTCATGGTGGGGTGACGAGTTTTGGGGTTCCTGTTCATGGTGGGATGTCCTACCTTGATGGGGTGAGTGGTTTTAGGATTCCTGGACCTCTTGGGATGCCCTGCCATGGTGGGATCTCCATCCCCTATGGAATGTCCTACCATGGGGTGATTCCCATAAAAGCAGGAGCTGCTGGGCTGGGCAACCCTCACCTCCTCCTTCCCACCTTGTCCTGGGGGTGAAGCCACTTCCATGTGATCCCAAGGGATTTATATCCTCCCTGGCAAGGAGGTAAAGGAGTGGCCATCGCTGTTCCTGCTCACGGTGCTTTTAACCCCAAAACTGGGCTGCTCCCACTGGAACATCCCTAAAAACTGTCCATACTTGTGGATTCACTGGGCTCTTGGGACGTTCTCCCACCACTGGGAATTCCATGTCTTGGTGCTCATTACCTCCAGGCTTCAAATGGAGCTTAAAAGAGCCATGGGATGAAAGCCTGGGATTGGGGTGATCTGGAGCTCCATCCCAGATCCCATGCAGGGAAGGAACTCGGTTTTGGGATGTCACCTCCCCTGGATGACAGCAAAGCCCACCCTGGAGGGCTGGGAGGTGCCTTTTCCCTGGAGGGGCTCAGAGGGGCTGATCCCAAGCCGGATTCCAGCCATGGAAAGGCTTTGAGCTGGGAAGGAGGGTGGCAGCCAGAGGAGTGGGATGAGTGATGGGAGGAAGGACACTCATTCTTGGAGAAGTGGTTTAGATCCTCATGGAGAAGAGCTCGTTATCCAGTCATGGAAATACAGCATTCCCAGCTCCTTGTTTTTTCTGGAAGCGCCACACGCTTCCAGGTTGGGATGTTGGGTCGCTCATGATTCCGTGCCTCAGTTTCCCCCCTGGTACCTTGGGGTCTGGCTTTTCCCATGGCAATGAATAGACACCCCCTAAGGTCATCCAGAAAGAGGAAAACAAAAGGAAAATCCCACTGGGAATGGTGCAATCCTTCCATCCAACCCCACCACTCGCTTGGAGTGGGAGCAATCCCTGTCTCTGTGCCAGGCTGGAACATCTTCACCCCCTGATCCAACTCCTGGTGCTCCCACAGCCTCCCATTCTCCGGGATGTTATGGAAGTACCGGGATCTCCCAGACCTCACGCCTGCCAGGGCCATTTCAAATCCCCCCTTCCGGCCGACATCCCACTGGGAGAGGGATTAGTGGGAAGGGCTGATGTCTCTGTTAGGAATTGTCAGGGCCAGGACATGGATCCAGGCTCTCCCCTGGACTCCCAGGATAATTACACGCTTCGTTAAGTGGCTGATGGACACGTGTCCGGGCCCAGGATCCATGGCCAGGCCTGGGATCTGTGTCTGGACCTGGAATCTGTGTCCAGGCCTGGGATTCGTGTCCAGGCCTGGGATTCATGTCCAGGCCTGGGATTCATGTCCAGGACTGTGACCCGTGTCTGGGCCTGGGATCCGTGTCCAGGCCTGGGATCCATGTCCATGCCTTTGATCCATGTTCATTCCTTTGATCTGTGTCCATGGCTGGGATTCATGTCCAGGCCTGGGATCTGTGTCCGGATCCAGAATCTGTGTCCAGGCCTGGGATTCATGTCCAGGACTGTGACCCGTGTCTGGGCCTGAGATCTGTGTCCAGGCCTGGGATCCATGTCCATGCCTTTGATCCGTGTTCATTCCTTTGATCTGTGTCCATGGCTGGGATTCATGTCCAGGCCTGGGATCTGTGTCCGGACCCGGAATCTGTTTCCAGATCTGGGATCCGTGTCCAGACCCGGGATCTGTATTCGGGGCCAGGATCCGTGTCAAGGACTGGAATCCATGTCCAGGCCTGGAATCTATGCCCAGGCCTGGAATCCATGTCCAGGCCTGGGATCCGTGTCCAGACCTGGGATCCGTGTCCAGGCCTGGGATTCATGTCCAGGCCTGGAATCTGTGTCCAGGCCTGGGATACATGTTGAGGCCTGGGATCTATGTCTGGACCCAGAATCTGTGTCCAGGCCTGGGATTCATGTCTAGGCCTGGGATCTGTATGCAGACCCAGAATCTGTGTCCAGGCCCAGGAACCATGTCCAGGCCTGGAATCCATGTCCAGGTCCAGGATCCACGTCCAGGCCTGGGATCCATGTCCAGGCCTGGGATCCATGTCCAGGCCCAGGATCCGTGTCTGGCCCTGGGATCCATGTCCAGGCCTGGGATCTGTGTCCAGGCCCAGGATTCATGTCCAGGCCTAGGATCCGTGTCCAGGCCTGAGATCACCTGGGACATCACCTCCAAAATTAACCTCATCCTGGAGGTCTCCCAGCTCCTCACCCTCAGCAAATCCCAATTCCCAGCACAGGGAATCTGGCAGAAAACAACCCAAAAAGGATCTTTATAAGAAATTAAAAACAACAGGGGTGAAGGCAGCATGGAAAATCCAAGAGGATTTTGGAGAGGCGACACTTCCAGCCTCGTTAATGCCAAAGAATTAGAAATGGGATTTTTTTGGGGAGGAGAAAATCCAGGTGGGATTTATCACTGCTGGAGCAGGAGGGATATTTTCTTTCAGGTTTTAAATCCCACCATGGGAGTTCCCAGGGGGATGCTGTCTCCCAAATTCCCCCCTGGAGGGAATTCTGACCTTCCAGGTGTCTTGGAAGAACGGATGACTCAGGTGGACGTGGCTTGTGCCACCAGAGCTGGGATTTCCCAGCACAATGTTCCCTCCATTCCCTTTTTCCTCCTAAGGCCTGAAAAAAATTCCCAGGCCTTCCCTCAGTATCCCTAAAACCCGCTGGGCAGGACCTGCTCTTCCCACCATTCCAAATCCTCTTTGCCCCGGGAGCTGCTCACTTTGCATTAGAAAAGAAAAAGGGATTTTCGCAGCTGGAAGCGACTTCCAGGGTGTTTTAATCCTTCCAGAGTGTTTTAATCGCCCTGGGATCCCGGGAGACAATGCTGGGAGGAGTTTGGAGACATAATTCCGACGTGATCCCTGCAAATCCGCCGCAGATGTGGTTTCCAGGAAGCTCCCGGCTCCGGCTCCCTTGTTTTGTGCAGCCGCTCCCTCTTCCCCTGGTTCTGTGTGGGAATGGGCTCTTTGCCACAGGGAGAGGGATTTGGGGGTGTTGGTGGGTGGAAAAGCAGGAATTCCCTGTGTTCTGGGCTCGTCCCACAGCGTGGGAAGCAGGAGAGGGTGGGATTCAACCCCTCTGCCCCACTCAGGTGAGACCCCACCTGCAGAGCTGCCTCCAGCCCGGAAATTCCCAACATTAGAAGGATGTGGAGCTGCTGGAGCGAGTCCAGAGGAGGCCACAGAGATGCTCCAAGGGCTGGAGCTCCTCTGCTCTGGAGCCAGGCTGGGAGAGCTGGGAATGTCCAACCTGGAGAAGGAAAACTCCAGGGAGACCTTGGAGCCCCTTGCAGGGCCTAAAGGGGCTCCAGGAGAGCAGGAGAGGGACTTGGGACAAGGGATGGAGGGACAGGACACAGGGAGTGGCTTCCCACTGCCAGAGAGTTAGATGGGATATTGGGAAGGAATTCTTGGCTGTGAGAGTGGTGAGGGGCTGGGCTGGAATTCCCAGAGAAGCTGTGGCTGCCCCATCCCTGGAAGTGTTCCAGGCCAGGCTGGAGCAATGTGGGATAGCAGGAGATGTCCCTGCCCATGGCAGGGAGTTGGAACTGGATGATCTTTCTGCTCCCTTCCAACCCAAACCATCCTGGGATTATTGGCAGCACCAGAGGTCTGGTCCAAGGCTGGATCCCGGAGGTGTGGAATCCAAGGAATACACCTCTGTGGCCTGTTGGTATCCTCTGACTTCTCCCCTCTCCCTGTGGATGGGCAGGTTTGGGGTTGAGCAGCCGTTTTTTAACCCATAAACTCCTTTTTTCCCCCAAAAAAAACTGCCTGTTTGTCCCAAGGAGAGTTTTCTCCGAGCCCCGGGAGCCCCACGGAGACAACGGGATTTGATTTCTTGGGATCTTGTCCCAGAACAAAGCCCGTGCCGGGCTGCAGAGCCCCCAGGTGCCACTTGTGCTAAAATCCCACCCTGATCCATGAAATTTGGCTTGTGGTCATCCAGCAAAAAAAAACAACAACTGGATAAAGCCTCCAGTGTTTTCTGGAGCTTTTCCACCAAGAAAAACTCCCCGGCCCCTCTTTTCTTGCTTAATCAACCCCCATTCCTCCCCCATCCCTTTTCCCTCCCTGCCTTCAGCCTTTGCTGTGGATCAGGCTCCGTGGGCTCTTCCCCACCACCACATCCCACATCGGAAGCGCGGCCAGGGCTGGAAATTCTCTGGGAAATGACCCATTTCCTCAGCAGGACAATGCCCAGGCTCAGGGTCCGGCCGCTCTCGGTCACACAAAGCCCTTTCCGGTGTCCCTGGCTCACTCCCAGAGTCCAAACCTTTCCCGGGGGAGGGGTGATTGGTTGTGGGATCGGGAACAACTTTGGGTGTTATTCCTAATAATGTGTTATTATTCTGCTCCCGGTGGGACAAATCCACTGGGAAAAATTGGAAGTCTCCCGTGGCGGAGGAAGAGCAGGCTCCGGAAACCCGGCCCAACGCCGCCGGAGCTTTATTTAGCGGGATAATGAGGGAGCAGAGCAGCAGGAAAGCAACGCCCTGCGGTCCAAGCTCAAATTGCCACTTTTGAGAAGAGACTCCAATTAAAAGCTGAGCTCAGCCCATGCCAGGGTCTGCTCTGGGATGGTTGGGATGGGGCAGGATGGGCCCGGAGGACGCGTGGCAGCCACAGAGCTGGGAAAAGTGTGGGAAGTGCTGTCGGGAGCCACATCCTGGGGATGGGAATCCGTGGAGGACACAGGGAGTGGGGGGTCACCAGGCACGTGGAGGTGGTGCTGCAGGGACATCCAGTCCTGGGGACACGATTCCCTGGAGGACACATGGCCATGGCACCCAAGCAGGGACACCCTATCCCAGGACATCCTGGGATACAAATCCATGGAGGACACACAGCCATGGCACCCAAGCAGGGACACCCCATCCCAGGACATTCTGGGATACAGATCCCTGGAGGACACACAGCCATGGCACCTGTGGTGCTGTCACACAGGCAGGGACACCCCATCCCAGGATATCCTGGGATAAAAATCCATGGAGGACACACGGCCATGGCACCCGTGGTGCTGTCACACAGACAGGGACACCCCATCCTGGGGATATCCTGGGATACAAATCCATGGAGGACACACAGCCATGGCACCCAAGCAGGGACACCCCATCCCAGGACATCCTGGGATACAAATCCGTGGAGGACACACGGCCATGGCACCTGTGGTGCTGTCACACAGGCAGGGACACCCCATCCCAGGATATCCTGGGATAAAAATCCATGGAGGACACATGGCCATGGCACCTGTGGTGCTGTCACACAGGCAGGGACATTCCATCCGGGATATCCTGGGATACAAATCCATGAGGAACACACAGCCATGGCACGCAAGCAGGACAACCATCCAGGACATCCTGGGATACAAATCCGTGGAGGACACGCATGGAAAGCCCATGTGCATTCCACCCCAGCGAGACCCCATTCCTGGCATTACCATCATGTGAGGACATACATCCATGGAACCCATGATGCCATCCCACCCCAACGGAGACCCCCCATTCCAGGGACACGATTCCCTGAAGGACACTCCATGCCCATGGCGCCATCACACATCCCTGGAGGGCTCCGGGGACGTGTCTCCACGTGGCCACAGCACCTGCAATTCCATCCCACATTCCCGGGAATGTCCCATCCTGGCAGTCCCACCTCCTGCAGCCTCCGCGAGTCCCTCACACGAATCCACGGTGTCAGGGGCCGCTTCCATGTTCCTCTCTCCCCGCAGTCGACATCCGGGAGATCAAGGAGATCCGCCTGGGCAAGAATTCCCGGGATTTCGAGCGCTACCCCGAGGACGCTCGGAAGTTGGACTTCACCATGTGCTTCATCATCCTCTACGGGATGGACTTCCGGCTGCGGACGCTCAGCGTGGCTGGTGCGTTGGGCTCCCTCCCTGCTCCCACATCCCTCCCCCTGGATCCCACCCCTTTCCTGGCATCCCACAGCACCCATCCCTCCTTCTCCTTTTCCAGCTTTCTGCGAGGAGGACATCAACCTCTGGATAACGGGGCTCAACTGGCTGGTGGCTGATACCCAGAGGGCCCAGACCCCGCTGCAGATCGAGAGGTGGGCAAGATCCCAATTCCCTGTCTGAGGGACAACCCCCCCCTGGATTTGCTCCTCCGTGGCGCTGAGCGCTGTGTGTCCGTCCCTTCCTTCTTTCCCAGGTGGCTCCGGAAGCAGTTTGACGGGATGGACCGGGCGCGGGAAGGCAGGTGAGCGCCGGCACGGCCCCGAGTTGGGGAGTGAGTGGTGGGTTTGGCAGGACAGGACCAGATTCCCCCGGTTGCATCCCAGATCTGGTGGCTTCGTGGGACGAGAGAGCAAGCACCGGGTTTTTTGGGATGCTTGGAGACATTGAAAATCAGAGATTTGAGTGTGAGGGCCACGGGGATCCCCATTTCCGTTGCTTTTCCACCAGTGACAGGAGGGGCTGGACCGTTAATGCAGCCCAGAAACAACTTCCAAAGGCAGGGAAAACCCCAAATCAAGGCAATTTTCACTGAAATTATGATGCAGATGGGAATGGGCGTCATCTCCAGGTGGGATGATGGCCTAGAGAGCCCAGTTGGTTTTTGGGATGTGCTTCCTCTCCTTGGCCCTCTGCTCACACTCGTGCCAAACACCACGTGGGACAAGGGAGCACCAGGTTTTTTGGGGTGCTTGGAGACATGGAAAATCAGAGATTTGGGTGTGAGGGCCACGGGGATCCCGATTTCCATTGCTTTTCCACCAGTGGTCATGGAATCATGGAATGGTTTGGGTGGGAAAAGACCTAAAGGTCATGGAATTCCCCTAGACCAGGTTGCTCCAAGCCCTGTCCATCCTGGCCTTCAGCACTTCCCGGGATGGGACATCCACGATTTCTCTGGGTTCTGTGCCTGGAGAGATTTACAGGCCAGGAGGAGGGTGGGATCCCCATGCCGGGCACCAGGATTTGGGGTGGGAACTTTGAGGCTGGGAGCCGAGACCCATCCAGGGGTTGGTTCTCCATCCCGACTCCATCTCCCGCTCCGGCAGCATCACCGTGAAGGACCTGAAGGCGATGCTGCCCCAGGTGAACTACCGCGTTCCCAACATGAGATTCCTGCGGGATAAACTCGTGGTAAGGACCCCTTGAACACCCCACCTGGGAGGGAGATGGTTTTCCAGCTTTTCCAGGAGGGCTGGAGCCGCCCCAGTGTCCCTGTGTCCGGTGGGGTGGCCCCGCTCTCACCTCCGGCCCCGTCTCCCCCAGGAAGTGGAAGCCAGGAATGAAATGACCTTCTCCCACTTCATCCAGTTCTACAAAAACCTGATGTTTGACGCCCAGAAGTCGGTAAGATCCAGGGATTTGCTTCCCAAGTGTCCCCCAAACCCATGTGACGTGTCCCCTCCTGGCTAAACCTCATCCCCTCCTCCCCTCCTTGCAGGTCATCGAGCAGCTGGAGCTCTCCTTCCCTCTGAGGTGAGTTCCTGGGAATGCCATGGCTCCCATCCGGCCAAGATTCCAAGGGTGGGAGCCACAGAGTGGGAAATGCAGGGATTGGGCAGAGCAGGGGGTGGGAGAGAGGATGGGAGAGGGAATGGGAGAGGGAAAGGGAGCAGGGATGGAAACAGGATGGGAAGAGGGATAGGACCAGGGAGGAGCAGGGATGGGAAAGGGAAAGGGAGCAGGGATGGGAGCTGGGATGGGGGTGAGGATGGGAACAGGGATAGAGCAGATGAGCAGGAATGGGGATGGGAGTGGGAATGAGAACAGGGATGGGAGTGGGAATGAGAGCAGGAATGGGAGTGGGAATGAGAGCAGGGATGGGAGCAGGGATGAGAAGAGATGGGAGTGGAGTTGGAGTGGGAAAGGGAGCAGGGATGGGAACTGGGATGGGAGAGGGAAAGGGAGCAGGGATGGGAGATGGGATGGGAGTGAGGATGGGAACAGGGATAGAGCAGATGAGCGGGAATGAGGATGGGAGTGGGAATGAGAGCAGGGATGGGAGTGGAAATGAGATCAGGGATGGGAGTGGGAATGAGAGCAGGGATGGGAGTGGGAATGAGAGCAGGGATGGGAGTGGGAATGAGAGCAGGGATGGGAGCAGGGATGAGAAGAGATGGGAGTGGAGTTTGAGTGGAGATTGGAGTGGGAAAGGGAGCAGGGATGGGAGCTGGGATGGGAGTGAGGATGGGAGCAGGGATAGAGCAGATGAGCAGGAATGGGAATGGAGATGGGAGAGGGAATGAGAGCAGGGATGGGAGCAGGGATGAGAAGAGATGGGAGTGGAGTTGGAGTGGAGATTGGAGTGGGAATGGGAGGGGAGCGAGATCAGAGATAGGAGAGGGGTTGAGAGCAGGAATGGGAGTGAGGATCCGAGCAGGGATGGGAGAGGGGATGAGAGAGGGGATTGGAGAGGGGATGGGAGCAGGGATGGGAGAAGGGATGAGCAGAGGTGGAAGTGGAGATGGGAACAGGAATATGAGGGGAGTGGGAGCAGGGATGGAAGTGGGGCTGAGGGCAGGGATGAGCGGAGGGAAGAATGGACAGAGGAGTCGAGGTGGGAGTGGGAATGAGGAGAGTGAAGATGGGAGCAGGGATAGGAACAGGGATGGACAGCCACGGAAGTGGATGAGGCTGCCAGGGATGTAGGGACATTCCACCCTGCCCTCCCCATATCCTTGGACAACACTGCACACTCCTGGTGGGAATGGGGCAGGAATAGGGGAGCTGAGAGCTTCAGGTGGGCCCCGGCAGCCTTGCCTCTCCCATGGGATCTATCCCAACTCCTTCTCCTGCTCCTCACTGGTGGCTGATCCGTGTCCCAGGAACGTGGACCGCCCCGAGCTGTGCCAGGTCTCCCTCTACGACTTCCAGAAGTTCCTGCTGCACGACCAGAAGGTGGGATTTCTTCCGGATCCTCGTGGTTTTGGGGCCTCCCATGGGATGCTCCGACCCCATAACAACATCCACATTTGTCTCCCAGGAATCCTGGGCCAGCGACGTGGGCATGGTGCGGGAATACATGTGCACCTACCTCCGGGAGAGCTCCAGCGAGGCGTCGGATCCCTCCTTCCAGCTGGATGAGGTGGGTGCCCCCCACCCAGAACCCACCCAGGGGTGTCTCC